AAAAAAAAAAAAGAGATTTTATATAACTAAAACCATCTCCTCTTTAGGTTTGTTGATTGTATAAGCCACTTAATTGATTAATTTATTTTCTTGTCATTTCAGAAAAAAGCCAAAGGGCAGGAGTTGTTTGATCAGATTATGTACCACTTGGACCTTATTGAAAGTGACTATTTTGGTCTGAGATTTATGGATTCAGCACAAGTAGCAGTGAGTAACTCTTTTTGGGAAGTTCCAACATGTGGGGAAAAATGGGAAATTTCAGATAATGTGCTAAATGCTAGAAGACTTCATCTTCTTAATGTGTTCTTTATTTCCTATGATTTGAAGTTTTGACACCTTGCTTTAGAATCCCCTGAAGTGCTTGCTTTAAAAAATGTGAATCTTAGTCTTAACCTGAAATCCTGGAAGAAAATCTCTGAGAATGGGGCTTGGGAAGCTGTTTTTTTTTTTTTTAAATTATTTTTATTTTTTATTTTTTGAGACAGAGTTTCATTATGTCGTCCTCAGTAGAGTGCCGTGGCATCACATGTCACAGCGATTCTCTTGCTTCAGCCTCCCAAGTAGCTGAGACTATAGACACCTGCCACAACACCCAGGTATTTTTTGTTACAATTGTCATTGTTGTTTAGCTGGCCTGGGCTGGGTTTGAACCCACCAACCTCAGTGTATGTGGCTGGCACCATAACCACTGTGCTACAGGTGCTGAGCCAAGAAGCTATGTTTTTAAATAATATCTGGCTGGGTTCCTGGACACACTGGAGTTTTAGAAGCACTATGTAATGGAAAGAATGCTAGCATGAGAGTTTCATGGACCCTTGGATATGTGATGGAAGTTTTTAATTTGTAAGTTAAGATGAGTAGGATATCTCTAAGGTTCCTTTCAGATCTGAGGTTCTGTGTCTATAGGTAGTACTTCTCTGACTTGCATTTCAGATGAGAGAATAGCATACATAATAGAGAAGAAAATTGACCGTGGTTGCATTAATGTACACAGCTATGATATAATAAAAAAAAAATAAAAGAAAGTTGAGGCTAGTGGAAGTTGAGGCTACTGAGTACTATATTAGGATTTCACTGGAGGATATCAGAAAGGAAATAGTGGTTGACAAGATTGGGAATGGATTAGTGGCCATATGATCCAAACTAAGGGCTGAAACTATTAAATAACAAATTGGAAATATTCTCTAATAATTGTGATTGGGCATTTTTCAAGCCAGGGTGGTTATATTTTGCTTTAGTAAGTTTTTTTTTTTTTTTTTGAGATAGAGTCTCACTATGTTGCCCTCAGTAGAGTGCTCTGGCATCACAGCTCACAGCAACCTCCATCTCTTGGGCTTAAGTGATTCTCTTGCCTCAGTCTCCCAAGTAGCTGGGACCATAGGCCACAATGCCCAGCTATTTTGTTGTTGTATAGTTGTCATTGCTGCTTGGCTGGCCTGGGCTGGGTTCGAACCCGCCAGCTCCTGTGTACGTGGCCAGTGCTCTAGCTGCTGAGCTACAGGCACTGAGCCTGCCTTAGTAAGTTTTATGTACATGGTGTCCCAAAGGTCACCATGCAAAATGGGAAATTGTAGCTAAATGCACCTTTATTTACAAAATCTTTCTCTACATTTTGATATAAAAATATATATATAAATATAAAATATAATATGAGCTTGCTAACTTTTCCTTTGTGTGGTGTTCTTTAAGATACCCTGTGGAAATATTGGGTAGGATTCTTTGGAATGGGCAAAAGATTGGAATCGGGGAAAGTTAGTACAAATACTTTAGGGATAAAAGTTAATATTAAAGCCTGGACACTAGCAGACAGAGGGAGAGATCACAGATGATAAAGATGTTAAGACATTAAGCCTCATTTCCTGGAAGTCTCTGTGTGCTCTGTGTGTGTGTGAACTCTACAACTGGCTTTATAGAGCATCTTGGTTAAATTTATAGTTGTTAATAATTTTAGCTATCATTTTTTCTCTCAGGTCTCCCCTCACCACTAAAAAATTAAGCACGAACATTTAGCAAAGAGTATTTAATTTTTTTTGGAGACAGTCTCTCTGTTGCCCAGGCAAGAATGCCCTGGTGTTAGTTTAGCACACAGAACCTTCAAACTCTTTGATTCAAGTGATCCTCCTGCTTCATCCTCCCGAGTATCTGGAACTATAGAAACAACAAT